GCACAGGGTATCGAGCATCTGAAGGAAGTTGGCACTCAGATCCAACAGGCACTTTCTAATTTCGGTAATTTATCAATTCTGTGGATTTTAACGGAAATAATTCCTATACATTTATTCTGCATTTGGTTCAAAATAGGCAAAAAAGTGCTGGGAAATCTTGGGAGCGTAAAAGTTTTTGAAGTGTATATGTACATATGAAGTATGTACTTTATGCACAATATATGTTTAGGGTCACAGGTCTACAAAATCACAAGAGACGCATCTTCGAACGCTTTTCAAACTGGCAGTTTTGTCTGTTTACTGTCGCATTGCATAATAAACTGTAAAACGAAGCTAATGTGCACCAACCAATTCATTTTAGGAATTGACGTTGATGTAGGTGTTCAGCATGGTGGAATTACCGAAAAAATTCCAAAATTGGAAAGTCCTGGCAATGAAATAACTGAACCAAAGAGAGAAGAAGTAAATCTGACTGAGGAAAAATCATGCATCTCTCCTGAAGCCACTGACGCGAAAAGTGAGGATGGCAAGCAAAAAAATGATTTGGATTTCAACGTAGTAACAGTTAGTTTGCAATGCTGGCTTGTAATCATCTTTTTTTTTTGAAATTGCATTTATTTTATGGTATTTTGCTGTGCATAGCTGGAGGTATGGAGGCCGGAACCAAAGGGTCTGGCATCGTTTTGCTCAGCGTTTGGGAGTATCATCGTAACATCACAGACAGGGGAATCGCACACTGTTAGTACGAGCGGTCTTAGGATTCTTGGTGTTTTCAGCTTTCAGCAATATGTATACAGTGACACTGATCGGGACGCCAGTTAGGTTGCGCGACGTTGTATTAATTTGTTGTAAGACACATGAAAACTCGCTGCTGTGCTTTGTCTTAATGATTTCTTAACGTGTTTAGCATACGAAAGCGCTGAAAACTCGCTTCCGTAGCTGGCTTCTTTCAGCAGTTACAGCGCCACTCTGTTTCAGTGCGTTGTCATAAATTAAGGCCCGTTGGGTTCTAAAATTCAATTTTACTTGTTTGGGCCCACATCGTCCTGTGTTTGAAGCTTAAAAAACTGTTTCGTCCCTTTCGACAGACAAATTAGCTTGAACCTAAAACCCGAGATCGCATATCAAAGCACAGATTTATTGTCGCCGTGGTGTAATCGGTATCAACGGGCCCGGCATATCACTTCTTATGACTCTGCAGTTTTTTGAATTTTTCAGTCGTGCAATAATCGCTTACTGGGGAGGGCCGGACCGAGGGAGGAAAGGAGGGGATGGGTGGGAGTGGTTGTTATCTATATTTTGCAAAATTTTTAACATTTATAGCTTCAGGAATTCGATGGTTTGGAAAGATCTCTAGAAGACTTACACATCACCAAGAAGTGCTCGGAAAACCAACCTGACACAGACGAAGCAACCAAGGAAGCTGATGTGAAATCACCGGCATGTGATAGTGCAGCAGCTGTAGAGGATAACATTTCGGAGGACTGGACGATGTTGGAAGATATTAATAATTCTGGCAACAAAACGAATCTAGGTAATGGCGAGCAATCATTGGCTGTTAAAGATCTTTTTTAGAGGTTCCGAGGTTAGTGATGTATGCAGCAGTAAATCTGGCAGTATTTATGTTGTGTGAAAAGAAAAAATTTCTCGATATTTGACTCTTTATGAGGGACAGAGCTATGAAGAAGCGAAACTGTAATCGTATTCTATCAACAGAATCAGCCACTGGCACAGATGTCAATAACTTTTACTCAGTTGTTTGCGCAAAAGCAAATTTGAAGACAATTTTAACATATTTTCTTGCACCATACCAGTTTAATGTCGAAATATATTTGTGTGTTTTGCTTTTCCAGATGCATCGATATATCCCATTTTGAATAACAATGAAGGGAGATGCTTGGCCGGTACGCCTTTCATTTATCCACCACCTGGCCCACACAATCCCCATTGTCATTTCATATTTCCTGGTAAGTTTTTTTAGTTGTCTTCAGCAGAACGGCGGATCAGCGAGAAGATACTGTTTAGCATATGAAAATTGTTGCTTGATATTAAAGCATTATTTGCATTTGGTTGTTATGCACTTTTCACGTTCTAACACTTTTTTTGATGACATTATTATGGAGTAACAGATTCATGACATAAACCGAAGAACAAATGCTGACGGTAACGAGGAG